ACTAGTCCTGGACTTTACAGATCAGAATTTGTTAATTTTTTTAATACCCTCCACCATATTATGGAGGGTATATTAAATTTGTCATTCCATTTGTAACACCTCGAAATATACATTTTAGATTCCACAAAGTATATATATTCTTGATCAGCATAAAATTCTATGTCGATTTAGCAATGTCCGCCCGTCTATCCGTCTATCCATCTTTGGAAATCACTCTAACTTCCGAGCGAATTGAAGTAGATTGATAAAATTTTTCCCAAATTTGTACTATGTTTGCAGAACTTTTGATATTGAAAATGGGCCATGTAGGCCTATTATTCACCGGAATTGTTTCAAATTTGGTATTTGATGTTCGAAATGGATACTACATCCTAAGACAGAAAATTGTCTGTACAAGTCCACGTCTACGTATAGCCCCCATACAACGGTACCTCCCGACATTCGGTATTTTGATGATTTTAGCCACATTATTCACCGGAATTGTTTTAAATTTGGAATTTGAAGTTCGTAATGGATACTACAGCCTAAGACAGAAAATGGGCCACGTTTTGGTATAGCCCCAAATATAACGGTACCTCCCGATATTCGGTATTTTGATGATTTTAGCGACATTATTAATCAGAATTCCTTCAAATTTGTTATTTGATGTTCGTGAGGGGTGCTTCAGCCAATGACAGGATATTATCTGTGCAGGTCCAAGTCTTCGTATAGCCCCCACTCCCGATATTCGGTATTTTGATGATTTTAGCGACATTATTCACCGGAATTGTCTCGAATTTAGTATTTGAAGTTCGTGATGGATACTACAGCCTAAGACAGAAAATTGTCTGCGCAGGTCCACGTCTTCGTATGGCCCCCGTATAACGGTACCTCCCGATATTCGGTATTTTGATGACATTAGCTACATTATTCAACGATTTTTTTTAAGTTTCGCATTTGAATATTGTAATGGCTTATGACAAATGTTACCTATGCAGGTCCATGTCGTAGTATTGACCCTAATATAACAGCTACATTCGGTATTTCTAAGATTGTAACAAAATATTTAAGGGATTTTATTGTTTTTTAGAATTACCCAATTCGTTCCAAGTGGTGTGGGGTATTCAAAGTTCGGCCCGGCCGATTTTACAGATTTTGTTACTTGTTTTTATATATTATCCCCGGATTCAAGAAGAATTATTCTGATATTTAGTACCCCAAATGTTTCAGTTTCGTTACCGTAACAGATTATTACCCACAATACCTGCAACCACATCTAACCATTTAACTCTTCTAATACTCCCAACTGCAACAAATCATTAACAACTTTTTTCTCCCACTCCAACTTTATCTCTGTCTTCTTCTTCTCATTTTTCGTAACGGCCCGTACTAAGTCCCAGTAATACTTGTCCGGCAGCACCATTAGTTGATCCCGACTAATACCTTTGTAGATATTTGCATATGAATATTCCATAAAGTCAACAATGATTTACGTGTTCGAATGCCATGGAGTATAATATCCGAAAATCATCTACGAAGTGGAATGAATGTAAAATTTAGAACTATGTTCGGAATTGCTTTGGATGCTTGGCGACACAGATGGACATTCTTGCAGACAAACGTGCATATACACATACATATGCAGGTCTATGTGAAGTGAGTCAGCAAAAGTTTGCATACAAACCTAGTGATCCAAATACTAGAGAGAAACTATAGCGAGCAGAGGTGAATGCAAATACAGGTGGCTCCACATAAGTGGAATATGGGAAATTTTAGAGAAAGATTTTTTACTATCCCCTTTATTCCGTTTAAGGGCTAGACAGAGATTAACATAATTTTTGTAGTCGGGAACAAAATTCTGATTTAAAATCATTTAATGAATCTCCCTTATTGTCATTACATTTATCGGAAGCCTAGTGTCTTTGGATTATTTTTTCCTAAAAATCTAGAACACCAAATAAAATTTCACTTCCTGTCCAAAACTTAAAATGACCTCCCTGCCATTTCGTATCTTTACATACACACATACATATAAACATGTTTGTTAGACAGCGCACGGATGGAATATGAGAGAAACTTGTCTGCTGTTGTTAAAGAATGTCTCATAATTTTAGGATATTCTAACTGAACGTAGAATTATAACATGAACATTTACATATACAGACACACACACTCGCATAATATTCACATAGCTGAAATGCATCTCTAAATGAAACGATGTAAGGCATGTGCTGTATGTGCATACGTATGTTGGCATTGACATCAGCTGTTGGCGTTATTGACAATTTGGTGTGTGCAACGAATCAAGATTCACCTTATAATTATATCGTCTTAAAAACGAGTTTGTATTAATTTAAGGAAGATTCCGTAATTACCTTTTAAAGCTGTCCTCTAACACTTCTAGTGGAACACTCAAACGAGTACATTGAAGTAGTTGTAATCAAATCAAGAGTGAGTTATTTCAGGCAATACTAAAGGTATTATCTGGCTGGAGCACAACTCTTAAAGAAGTTGAAGTTTTCACCCCAAAATTGGCTTTGTATAACTCTGTAAGTATACATGCTGAGATAAAAAAAAACTGCAAAAAAATCAAACGCCATATTTTTTTTAATTTTTTTTTCTAAATTTTTTTGAATGAAAGTAAAAAATGTCGGAAATAGCATCAAATTTTAGAATAAGTTTGGATTTGTTTGAATTGGTCACCTTTGGCACTTTTGGCTAATGAAACCGTCACAGGCTGCCGCAATGTTGCTCTGTGATATTTTGGCCCATTCCCGGCAAAGCGCTTGCTTGTGGTGATCGACACTTTAGCATTTTTAGTGCCAACCTTGCTTTCCAAAATACTCCCGACACAATAGTCCAACGGATTGGTATCCGGAGATTTTGGTGACCATTGTGGGCTGGATATGAACGGACCTCGAGGAACCTCATTTTGTAACCATTCCTAGGTGGCGCGTGCTGTGTGCGATGGTGCTGAGTCCTGTTGGAATGTCCAAGGTCTGCGGCCAAAATGTTTGTGTGCCCAAGGCTTTAATGCACCCTCTACAATATTTTCGCTATAACATTCGGCATTTATGCTGATGTCACGGTCAATTTATACGAGCGGAGAGCGGCCAACGGCTGTTATGGCGGCCCACACCATCATCAGGTGCACATTTTCAGCTGACCTCTTTGGCAAGTAAACACGACGAAAAAAAAAAAAAACAGCAAGATTAGCAGAACTGGTTTGGATCGAAGCCGTGTCACAGTGGCCGAAAAATGGCTCGTCAGCTGATTTCTTGTATTTTGTCTGAAATACACAAAATTGTAATATTTCGAGGAGTTACAAAGTTAAGATACCCTCCATAGAATGGTGGGGGTATAATAATAACTCTCGTATTCCGTTAAATCACTTTCCGATTTTCTTCAAATTTGTCCCAGATCCCAGATTTTGGTCACGCTTTAGAGCAAGTATGAAAATCATATACCGTAGTATGGTATCCAACCTTTTTGCCCACAATGTAAGACTTGCATGACATGTGGTTTGAACAAGGCTGTGATACTCAACAAGCGTAGCAATGGACTTATTGAAAGGCGAGTTTAAAGAACATTTTTTCTCATCTAGGCCCTATCAATTGACCGCCGCGATTGTGCGATTTAACACCTTTAGACTATTTGTCATGCTATGTTAAAGGTCTGTGCAGACAATTCCGCTTTAATTGTCGTATGGAAAGACAACATGGAAACATTTATATCTCACGAATAACCCCTTTAATACACATAGGTCTTTTGTTATTTAAAATGTATGACATTGGTTCACATTTCGCTATCCCCCACGAAAATCATCAAAATAGCTAACATTAGGTATATTGATTGTTTGAAAATCAGGTGAAACGGAAGCAGAATATTTTCTAATATTTGAAAAATCCGTCGAAAAATAGCGCTTACATGAAAACCGTTGTATGGGACCCATTAAATACGAAATTTGAGACAATTCCGTTAACATCATCAAAATGCCGAATAAAGAAAGGTACCGTAATAATTTGGCTGTACAAAAACATGGACCTGCATAGACATTTTTCTGTCATAGATTGTGTTACTCATTAGGGTCTTTATATACGAAACTTGAAGCAATTCCGGTCTATAGTGTCTTTCATAAAAACAAGTAAAAAGTATCGGTCGGTTTTGCCGACAGATGTATACCCTCAGCCAATGTTCGATTATTTAAAAAGATTGGACCGATATTGCCCATCTCCGTACTCGATCTAAGTTTAACAAAAATATTACGATCGAATTGAATGCTCCCTTCGAGACTTATTGTGCGCACCAGCCAGACAGACGGACGGACATAGCTAGACCGATTCCAAATGCTCTGAAACGGATTTGGTCCAAAGAGACCTAGGGTTTAAAACCGTTATTTCGACTAGGCACGTTTTGGCCGTATCAAATGATATATACCCTCTGTAGCCATATGGCTGAGGGTATAAAAATACCGTTGGGTATTGGGTGGTACGCTATATGCGGGCTATATTAGGACGTTTACCTGCACAAGTAATTTTTTGTCATCGGTTGCAGTACCCATTAAGATCTTGCAATACGACATTTAACACAATTCCGTTGAATAATGGTACCAATATTATCAAAATACTGAATATCGAGAGGTAGCGTTATATAGGAGTTATACGAAAACGTGGACCGACATGGCCCATTTACGAACGTAACCTGTCTAGTATATTTGCCAGTAGACCAGTTTAAATGAAATTTAACAACTCCTTTGTGAGTTTTCGTGCGCACCAGCCAACCAGACCGACGGTCGGAGGCACACCGAACTCTCTCGAGAGTTTTCGCACGCACTGGTCAACAAGCTTGACAGATGGACGCACACCGAGCTAGGTCGAGCGCTAAAAATGCATTATCAAAGGTAAGTCAAAATTATCGATATAACTTTTTTCATCTAATACGAAATCGGTGTATGAAATCTTAATATTTGTGGTATTATCTAGAATTAATAAAACAAATAATGTGAATTATTTTCGACTCACCATATAAATCCGTGATGTGTGATTCATAAATTATATGCTGCTAAATTTGAATCAAAAAGGGATTGTTAAAGGGATTGCCATAATTCCTCTTGTTGCCTCTGGTTTCATTCAAATATCAACAATTCTATTTCGTATTTGTATTGTTAAATCCGTTTGTTTGCAGTCTAAATTCAAAATTCTTGTAGAATCGTTCAAAATTAAAGCGTCGATGATTCTTTATTAGGATATAAATTTCAAGGATTTGTTGGATTATTTTGACTTAGGATATATCGATTTCCCAAATATCTCAAATTTTCAATATCTATTTTGTTAGAAATTTTAGGATTTTTTTTTTAATTCGAAATTCAAAGCCTACTTGGTATAAACCGAAAAATATATGGTTTAATACAGCTTATGAAATTACTTCAAAATTTCCTAACAATAATAGATTTTTTGGAAAAGGTCTAGTTGATACATTTCTCAATGCTATAGCGCCATTCCATCTGTCGCCGATTTCATACAACTTCGACATCCATACAATGTCACATGTATTACCACTGCAGCTGCCTATACACACAGTCGACATGTATTAGTGAATGTCATGTCGTTGCATAGACAAGAAAAGTGAAAAGCAATGGCATCCATGGCAGCTGCAATAACCAGCCTCCGTATGCAATATGCGCCAGCATCAGCATCGGCGTTCATACCTACCTTCCAAAAACATATGACAAAGTTTAATTTAACTTTTGTTTAGTTAAAGTCATGTAATTCAGTTTTCGTTGCTCTCTCTCTCTCTCAATTTTGCCGTGGCTTCCCAAAATTACATCAAAGCCAACCTAGCATACGATTTCATAAAAATACGGGGAAAAAAAAGTGTTACTCATAAATCTACGAAAAATCACTCACACACACACACTCATATAGACTCCCTCACTCACACAGTGAAACAAAGTGATTTAATTACTTTAACAAACTGCGACAATATGTCAAAAAGACGAAAACTTGTCCATTGCCAGTTGACTGACTGGTTTCGAAGAAACCCTTTAAGAAGTAGAGGAATGCAAAAAGGGAGGTGATGGGGGGAGAGGAAATGTATTAACAAAGTCATCAACTCTGGCAGCAGCATCACCCAACTTCGTCATCATTTTGCCTACTCTCCTCGCCTAGGCCACTGTAAATAAGTTAAAGGCTTCACTTTTCAAATCAAACTAAGAAAACTAAAGGGAAAAGTTATAAATCAAAATAAACATGCCGCACAGTTGCACAGGAGACCCCTCTCTCTCGCCACCCATTCCCTTTATGTGGCAGCCAGTACAACTTGTGTACATCAAATATTGCAGAAATTGCAACATCTGAACATTAACATCTGTGTTGTTTTTCTTGTGTATGTGTGCGTGTGTGTGTGCACTTTTAAGTTTAATTTTTTCCCTGGGAATCCCAACAGATTGCAAGGGGGACTCATTTTGTTGTTGTTTTCCGTTTTTTGAGAGAGAGAGAGAGAGAGAGAGGCTAGCTGCATTTAGAAAAATGCAAAAAGCGGCGATAGTTGTCATTTAATTTATTTACATTGTCAAAGGAAAAGAGCCTGACAATCTGTGTTTTCTCGAAGAAAATGCGTTCAAATACAATAGTACCCCACCCCTTTTGCTCCCCTAGAGATTAGCATTACAACCGTTTTTAATTCTGTAAATTTATCCCCATTCTGTAAACGTTCCTACTTAAGAGAATTATTTTAGTTTTGTAATGTAATCTTGACAAAGCATCAAATAAAAATTAAATTGAGGCGATTACAAGATAGTGCGGAATGGGGATAGGGGGAGGGGGGACTTACAATTACTTCACTGTAATTAAAACAATTTCACATGGGGAAAGGAGCGTAAAGCCAGGGCCGCTAAATAGGAATATGAATAATATACATAAAATAATTGAAATTGGTCCGAAGGGTCGGAAAGGGCTGGGTTTTAGGAACTTCATACTAGAACGGCACGAAAATTACTAAAAGTTTCTAAATATGGCTCCTTCGCATTGGACGAATAAGGACAACTAGAACTCTTAAATTTGGGATGAGGGTCACTGATAAAGTATTTGATGGATGTACCAAACAGTTTTAGAAAAAATTCGTACTATAAGTGTACGAAAATTACTAAAATGTACTATATTTGGTGTCATTTCGTATCATTTGAACGGTTAGAACATAAAACTTGAAATTTGGAATGCGAATCAAGATTGAGAAGTAGAATCGATGTAAGGAAGTAGTTTTTGGTAGTGTATTCCCATGTATACGAAAAGTACAAAACGGTACTAATTTTGGTACAATTCGAAATTAGAGCAACGGATTAAGCTTGAATTCTGAAATTTTTTAATTAACATTATTGGGGGAGAGTACGATTGAGATATGGAGGATATGAAATTTAAGGTTACGAAAAGTGGTAATAGGACCATTGGGTATTATGTAAACAGATATAGCTAAACATTTGGTACGAGAATCATATTTAGAAAGTAAGTTTGATATACGACGCTGGTTTCGAAAATATGTAACTAAATGATAACTGTACTAAATGGTACTAAAATTGAAACAATTTGGTTAATGGTGACAGATGGTTAGGAAATGTGTCCTAGAATTGAACGAAAAGTACTAAATGGTACTAAATTTGTTATTGGGTGTATGGATAGAATTGAAATCATCACATTTGATATTGATGTATCGGTTAATATCTGAAATTGAGATATGAAGGTGGTTTCGGAAATGTGCACCTTAATTATTCGAAAAGTACGAAATTGTACTAAATTTGGGTGAAGTGATAGGGCTGGTATTCTTAAATTTTGTATGAAGCTCTCTCTTTATATTTGGGATTGAGATATGAAGGTGGTTTTGGAAATGCATGCTATAGTTATATAAAAAGTAGTAAATTTGGTATTGGGTTAAGGAATAGGACTAAAATCCTGAAATTCATTGTAGATGTTGTAGAGCTTGTTTTGGAAATATGTACTTTAATTGTACCGAAAATATTAGATATTACTATATTTGGTCTCGGCAGAAGGGGAAAAATAAAACTCTACAATTTGAAGTTCGCAACACTGTATGTATCTGAGGTTGAGAGAAGGAGCTGATTTTGGAAATGTATACTTTAACTGTACGAATACCACTAAATGTTACTAAATTGGTGTTGGATGAAGGGAGAGAGCTAAAACCTCAAATGTTATATGGATGTAACACTTGGTGTTTGTACTTAGGAGAAGGAGGTGATATTGGAAATGTGTGCCATAATTGTTTGAAAAGTACTAAGTGGTACTAAATTCGATATTGGGTGAAGGGGTAGAAATGAAATCCCGAATTTTAAAATTCTGTTTGTGTGCGGACTTGAGATAAGGAGGCGGCTCGGAAATGCGTACTATAGTTATACGAACAGTACTAAATAGTACTAAATTTGGTATCACTATTGATGTCTGTGGTTAAGATATGGAGTTGGTTTTGGAAATACGTACTATGAACGTAGGAAAAGTGCAAAGTGTCACAAAATGTGCAGTAGGATGTTGGCATAGAGATGGTTTCCTGAAATTTAGTATTGAAGTCACTATTTACAGAAGATCTCTTAAAAGAAAACTTTTATTTACAGATAGAGGTTTTGAAATCCTGCACCACTGGTCTGGACATTATATCTGTGTGTATTTGTTTGTAACATGAAGAAGGAAGCGATATAGATCCATAGTTATTTTTGATGATCTATTTAGAATCATATTCTAATACGATTTATTCACAAAAACATATAGACAGACGGACGTCCATGTATTTTTGAGAAAAAAATACAGGTCACATTTATAATCCGATTTAGATAAAATTTTACGCAAGTCATTTGTTTTACTCTAGTTAAATTTGAGATAATCGGATTAAATTTGGATATAGTTCCCATATATATGTTCATCCGATTTGTCTTTTATTGTGCACCGATGTATAATATTGGTAAGTATGGCAAATTTGGTAAAAATTGGCTCAGATATAGCTATAATTCCAAAATGTAATATTCATCTGATTTGTTATTTTAGCCCCCAAAGCCATAATATTAACTCCATAACGTAAGTCGGAGAAATTCGTGAAAATTAAAAAAAGTTTAAAAGCTGGTGGTAACAGTTGATTTCACATTTTTAAGTTTTGTAATAACAATTTTTTAAACTTTCGAGTTATATCGTCATGTTTAAATAACCCTAATTATTAACCGTAGATTCGAAATATATCATTTAAACTTAAACTTTTTTAATTATAATCTTCTGGTAGAGGTTATATGTACATCCCTGCTAATATTAGCATCAATTTTATTTTTATTTGCATTTATTGCCCATCACTTACCTTGATTTCTTTTGAAATTAACTTTTTTCAGCATTTTCTTGTTTTTACAAAAGAGCAACATTTTGCGGAAAACCACACTCGTATTTGTACCTATTACCATTGAAACAAGGACCCCTGTTGCGTATGCATAATATCAGTTCCCAAAATACAAATCATACGCTCCTATGTCGTGACAAGACATTGACTATCTTGATTCTCTTCACAGCTACTTCCACGAATTTCTGATACCCAATTGTCGTCAATATTAATTTATAATTTCTTTGATTTTGCATTCAATCTTTCCTAATTGCCCTTTATCTACAAAAAACATCTTGAAGGTATTTATACCCTACAACACTATGTGATGGGGGCATTATAAGTTTGATTGGGCCAATAATTATGTAACACCTCAAAAAAATTGGTTTCCCACATAGGAAAGTACCTGTGGGTCTTCCTATCTCGCCGAGTTGAGTCGATCTAGCTATGTATGTCCGTCTGTCCATGTTAATTTGTAATCACTCTAAAGGTCGCAATTATGGCCCGATCTTCACGAAATTTAGAATGGAGGTGGGACTAGAGCCAGAATAGAATCATATTGCTCTTAGACGAACAGGTCAAATCTGACCGTTACGTAGATGGCGATAGTAAATATATCGGATATATTAAGCGAAATATCTACAATATATATACACAGAGAAAGGGGATGTAAGCTAGAATGCTTATATTTCAAGAACGGCTGGACCGATTTTGACAAATTTGTCAACTCAGAATGCCTTCTTGGCATTAAAGTATAAAATCTAAAATAATAAAATATGCCAATAATGCTGTTAATATAGATTTTGTAGCATTTTTTGACATATTTTTATTTTTTCATATTTTTGATCGCATCAATTTCAATTTGACTTAAAATATTGAAGTGTATATTTTGTAATAGTTTTTCACCTTACAACACATGTTGGGGTTATTTTATACAGATTGCAATTATCGTCCGAACCTCACGAAAATTTTCACAAGGGTAAGGTTAGGCTCAG